CCCCCCCCCCCCCCCCAAAATAAAACCACAAAAAGAATTCAAATTAGTGGGTAGAAAAAAAAAGTCTTCAAGCTGCTGTAAAGAAGATTTAATTTCAAATTAATTGCCTTGTCCTTGTGTTAGGATAAAACTTACACTAAGTGGAAAATTTATTTGAATTGCAATGTATGAATATGAAAACAATAATAAATTGGTTAACTTTAAAAAAAAATGTTTTAACATTATATTCCAACCCACCCACTTTTATTGTTGAAAAAAATGTATTTCCTATATCCCAGGGCTTTGACTCGGGTAAGTGCGTGCCCCCCCCCCCCCCCCCCCCCCCCCCCCCCCGCCCCACTCTTTTCCCCCCCCCCCTTCCACCCTAGGTCCAGGCCAATATTTTGCCACCCGCTGTCAAGAAAAACTCTCCACTTAGTTAAAAATGGTGCCCCTCATTTAAAGTAAAGAAAACAAATGATTCTCAGGATGGACCGCTTCTCCAACTCTATTTTTCTATGCCACTGACCCAGACTGCCCAAGAGACAATTAATTATATGTCCTCCTATAATCTACAATTGTCTCACTGTGGGGGTACCCCACAAGTTAGGATATAAAATGCATTTAATTTATAAAGCAGCCAGTAAAATAGTAAAAAATGCTTTTCTCTTTCTTTACAATTACAAGTACCTTGCCGTTGCCACAAAAGCGTGTGAACTTACCCACAATCTACCTCCTTAACCCGGAAAAAAAAAATTCTTAGCAAAAAAAATTAGTTACAGCCACATCATTCCAATGAATTCCTGCAGGACTCAATCCCTGCACACCATAAAAATACACAAACTTTTTTAAAATCTTGCAGGTGTTAAATTATTTTTTTATTTTAACAAGAGAATAAAATTAAATACCAGTTAGTTGCCGGTTATTAAGGCAGAGGAGTTAAAGACTGGCAAAGATCCTGATTTTACTGCATATCTGCTGCCATGTACGCAGGCCAATCGGACGGGCTCTGTCTAACTTTAGTCTAGGTACTAGACTGACTGGTGTACACCACCACCGAGTGAAGTGTGTATAAATTATATTGTTATTGTGGTGCTGGAAAATTAATTTAAATAGATAGCCCCCAGCACCAAAATCAGGCTGATGCACTCATTAGTCCTCTCAATTTTCCTGTATGCCTGCGAATCCTGGACATTAACAGCCGATCTTGAAAGGAAAATAAAGGCGATGGAGATGAGATGCTTCAGAAGCATTTTGGGCATCTGCTATAGGGACCATATCTCCAATGATACAGTGAAAGAAAGGGTTCATCAGGCAATTGGGGCGTACAATGACCTACTGGTGACTGTGAAAAAAAGCAAATTACAATGGTACGGCCACGTGACAAGGGCTTGCCAAAGAAATATTGCAGGGCACCACAAGACGAGAGAGAAGAAGAGGAAGACAAAGGTGAGAGGATAACATCAAAGAGTGGACAGGACTAACACTGGGCAATGCAGTGCGTAGTGCTGAAGACAGAGAGGAATGGAGGAGGATGGTTCACATGTCATCTGTGGCGCCCCAACGGTCCAAGGACTAAGGGATATGAGGATGATGTGTTAGACTCTTATGCAAATATTTTAACACAAATAACCTTCAAGCTAGATTAAAGAAATTATAAAATAGTCTAGTGGAGTATGTGTGTCACTTCATGATGATGAAGGTCCATTTCTGAAAAAATATCTTCATGGGGGCAGCCATTTTTTATGAATCTTAACTCTTGATTTAAAATAATCTCCGTTGTAATAGCTGCCCTTGTCCTTTATTTTAATTTAAAATAGTTACTTAAAATTTCTGAGCGTTTCTAACACTACAAATTCGTGTCAATTTTGTTTTCCACGCAACAAAAATTATTCTACAAATTATTGTCTTGACATTAACTTAAATTACTATGATTAGAAGGGACCTAACAAAATTAGTTAATAACATGACTTATAAGCAGTTTGTAGCAGGGCTGCCACTCACTTTTTTCAAATTTCCCAAGATGTGGTGAACAAATTTCCCAAGATTTCCCAAGATCATACAAATATATAAGAGTTTTTTTTTTAAAGGGGGGTTTTCTATGTAATTAATGTAATAATAGATTGAATCAATGCCCCTGAAAAACATGGTATATTAATGGACTGAAATTTATTGAAAAAGACATTTAAAACATGTTTATCACATTAAAAAAAAAAATTGTTTTTTAAAAAAATTATTTATAATCCAAAATATCAATACCCACTGGAGTTAGGCTACTAAATATTACCTCCGAATTCTCTGATAAAAATATAATCTACAATACATGTGTAATAGAAGTCACTTGGAAAAAAAAAGCATACAAGGCTAATCAACACAGAATTCCTTTTACAAAGGCAAAAGTTTCTTCATCAAAAAATGATTTTTTATTATTGTAAATCTGTTGATTACAAGTGGGGTTTGCAAAGCAATTAAGCAAAATTTATTAATAATAATTGTAGTTAAAATGGATTGATATTACGATGAAAACAATAAGTGTTTTATTTTTTCTTGTAAAATTTACATTATAACGATTTTTTCACCAAAAAAAAAAAAATTTTAAAGGAATTGTTCATTTATAATCCTACAACGTAGGCCTATACTGCCTATACTATTAATATCTTAGTTACCCGTGTTTCAATCCACAAATATTTTTTCTAATTGATGAAAATTAGGCTGGATTTTTTACAGATGCATTATATTTTGAACACATTGTAGAAGTAATTGAAATAATAAAATTCTACTATGGCATGGATTCTTGATTGAACACTATCGTTCACTCTTTGGCTTGTACTGTTTTTCGTATGGCTGCTAATGTCTAAGAGCATAATGATAAAGTTTCCGAGCCTACCCCCCCCCCATTTAATAAACATTCAAAACCTGGATGTAATTTGTAAATCTTCAATTTTTTTTTTTTAAAGAGAAAATTGAATTTTTTTTTAAAATTATTAACTTTTTAATAATTCACAATATTAACTTTAAAATCAGAAGAGTTTTTATTTATTTTATGAGTGGATTTAAAAATTAAAACCAGAAAAGAAAATGAAAACAATTAATTTTTTGCCTTGTTACTTTAAAAATTATTTTGCTTTATTTTTACTTTATTTTTTATCAGATATTGTTGCGTTTTTTTCGAAAAATATAACAAAATTTTCCCCCCAGTTAAGATTTCCCAAGGTTTTGCATGATTTTCAAAATTATTCCCCAGATCCCAAGGGGGGTCGTGAATTCCCAAGATCTTGGGAAATTTCCCAAGGTGTGGTAGCCCTGGTTTGTAGCAGTCAAATCATACACAAAAAGGACAGGGATCCTTCAAGTAAATATTTAAAATGATAGGCGTTTTTCAACGTTATAATCTTTAGAAGTTTATTGTAGTTTTAACAAATGTAACAGTAACAATATGTCAAGTCAAAAGCAGCGCAAAGCAACAGAAGATGGTCGAAGTGTTATGGACAAAATTCGCACAAGCCTCTTTACAGGAACAACGGCAAAATTGTTTGAAGATGATTATTTTATTTTTGAACTTATAAAGGTGAAATTTGCAAAGGCTAAACTAAATATTATTCCTTATTATAAATTATTATCACTTCTTAATCAGATTAATCTGAATCAGCATACCAATCCTTAAATTGACTTAAACTGCATTTGATTGCAGCAATATTGACAATATTTACTTACATTTACATTCTAGTCTTAGCTACTACTACTACTACTACTACTAGTCCTAGTGTCACTGTTTATTTTTTAATTCAGAATAATTTAATAATAATAAGATGTATTGTTTGCCGAATGAGGTATAACTGGAGGTAGTAATACAATACAAGTTGTAGTACAAGCCAACAAGTTAACAAGTACTGATGTACTACGAGTACCTCTTAGTTTCAAAGTTTGAGTCAGACTTGAATTAGAACTAGTACTATTACTATTATTATTATAGACTATTTAGAAGTATTAATCAATTGATAGTATATTATAATTATATTAATTAATTAATGCATTTTAATTTATGATTAATTAGCCCAACATTCATTAATTAATTTAATTTGATTAAGTCATGAAAAAAGGACCATGGACCATGCATATATTATATTAGTATCTTGTATTTTATTTATATACCTGTAGATTTTCATTTTAAAACCACGTCCCCTATGAGTATGAGCCCTATGTGTCAGTGTTAGTACAAAATATGATTTTTTTTGCCACAAAAAAGTGGTAAATGTGTTCCTAAAAATAATTCACCTAAGACGTAAAGCTTTTTAGAACCGATTGTGATTTGGATCACACGATATAATTATATAGAGAACTCTTCTGTGTTTAGTAAACATTATTCTTCTTAGAATTATGACATTAGGACAGTATTGTGTTAATATTATTTATATAAGTATCATTAGGATTTTTATTAGACATAAGGATCTGAATAATTTGTTTAAACTCCTCCCCATGCACACCTAATATCCATCTCCTAATACGAGCACTCAACCCCCCAATACATCATTGGGTTGAAAATTGAATTTATTTAGATATTCTTTACTGTTTATTTGGGATAAAGCTAAAGAAAAAATACCAAATGGTCTTTAAATGGTTGATATCAGGGTTTGTGTAAAATATTTGAAAATCTTCATGAATTCTAATTGAATGTCTTTATAACATGTTACACAAATAATTTTAAATTTGTGTTAGGGAGAAATAATAACTTTGCTAATTTTGTTTGCTGTAGAAGCAGGAGAAAGAGGATGATTCTGAGTTCTGAAGGGATGATTTTATTTTTATTTTTTTGAGTACTTTTCATTTATTAGATATATAGATGTTTTGGGGCAAGTCTGGACTGTGGTCCAGAGACCTTGGAATAAAAAGAATTCATCTCATATTCATTGCATATTATTATATTCAATTTTTCATTGCATATTATTATATTCAATTTTAGCTTCTATATGATGACTCATTGGATGTGCACACTAAAGTAGAGATATTAACAATTATTGAACAACATGCTTGCGGAGCTCTTCCAACAAATAGGTAAATTATTTTCTTAAAAATTCTCTTCATAGAAGGCTATAAATATTGCTATTGTAAGACTATTTGTAATTTACAGAAGTGAGACTTGGTCCTTTACCAGAATAGCAGAGACTCTGCTCAACACAAGGGAAAGATAAAATACTCAGGAAAATATATGGTATGGTGATAGACAATGATGGATGGAGAATCCGTAACAAACCAAGTGATATATCAATTGTACAAAGACTCATCCATAGTCGTAACAGTAAAAAAGGGCTGACAACGCTGGACAGGACACATTGAGAGGATACCGGATTGTAGAGCAGCAAAAGTGTTCTACAGGCAGAAACCTAGGGGCAGACAGCTCACTTGTTGACCAAGACTGAGATGGATTGACAATTTAGAGAAGGACTTACACCAGCTGGGGGTTCGCACATGGAGGCCTAAAGCCATGGATCAATCCCAATTGAAGGATGTGGTGGAGCAGGCAACACTGATAATAATGTAATATTTTCTTAAAGCCATCATTTATACCATATTTCAAAAGATGTTTTTTTTAAAGAGACTAAAATTAAATGACAATTTTAAACAAGTTTTTTTTATAGATGTTATACAGAAATCTTCAATGATAGTAACGTTGTTAATTCTCTATTTTTTCTAATTATGTAGTTAAGTGGCAAAAATTAAAAACATTTTTTTTTTTACTAATCTAGCATTGATCAGGTTGTGACTGCATTGGTGGCTATATTTCAAGGGCTTGTTACCAGTTCATCTTCTTTTGCAATAGCCACTCAGCTCCTGATCACTGTCACCACAGTTTTTGTTTCCAATGAAGAGTTGATGGTAGGCTACTTTAAAGCAGAACATATATTTTGTATATTTTGTATTTAGTTTTTAGATGCTTAATTATTAGCTTTACTTAGTTACAAAATAGTTTATTTAATCAAGTTACAAAATGTATGTATTAGTAGACAAGAGAAAAACGTATTATGCTCATACTGCTTTTTGGTGTTTTATTTTCAATACTGTGTTAACAAACAGCAATAACAATTGTACACATTAAAGTAAACGTTAAGACTCACAGGAGGCTATTTTGAAAAAATGGAGTAGACATCTCAAAATATTATATTTATATGTTCTGACTCTTTAATTAAAGAGTGATATTTTATCTTGATTGTTGCAAAGGTTTGTACAATAACAGTTGGAAAGTTTTGATCATTTTCTCTAACTAAAATTTTATTATCTGTCTTATTTTCAGCATTCTGAACTCTGCACAAATTTTGTGAATCAGCTGACAGCACTTGTGACAAAGATTAACAATGTTTCCACCAGAAGGTTAAGGGCTTGCTGTTGTCAATGCCTTGCCCAGTTAGTCATGTGGAAACCAGTGAGCATACAGCTTTGTGTTTATCAATTTTTAGTGCATTAAAAATAAATTGTGATAGCCATTTATTTGTTAGAATCTTGTTAACTGTATCATCTTTTCTTAGAGAAAAATTTTTATGTGTAAATTCAGTATGAAACAGCATAAAAATATGACAAGTAACTACTAAAAGCATGAACATATTTGTTATCATTAATAAATAATTTTAATTGAAGTAAATAGTTTAAAAAACCTTGGTAGGTTATATCAAGTTAACTGATAATCAATAGGGCTTGTTATGGAGGTGGAGAGATGTTTTAGCCAAGCTTATGAAGGATGAAAAAACTGATATTTGTCAAGACTACATGCATTTGCTTATATCAATCATCAGCAATCCTGATCCGTAAGTTCAAATGTGAATGTGTTAATATCACTACCAACAGCATTTATATTTGCTTTAGATTGCATATTATATTGTCTTTTAAATTATAATTCATCTATATCAGGGGTCTCCAAACTTTTCAGCCCAAGGGCAGTATTAACTATCAAACAGCAGCTCGGGGGCCGAATACACACTCGAGGTCCAAATAAAAAAGAATCAAAACATGGATGTTGTTTTAAATCATTTATGTATTATTATTTCATTCAGTTATTATTCAATAACACATCGATACACGACACATGAACACCTGTATTAGTGGGAATGGTGAAATAGTTTCCTGGATGCCAAAATAGCAGTGATTAGCAGACATTTCTGGATTTAGATTTGATATCCTTAACATCAAGACTGACCTGAGATGATCATCTGACAAATTTTTTCTCAAATTGTTCTTCACTTATTTCGTTCTTGAAAATGTTTGTTCACACAGCCTTGTTGTTCCAAATTTTTGAAAGGTACATTGATGCAAAAGTTTTGACATTAGGAAAGTCTTCCTTGGGCGAAAAGTAGTTAAAAACCCACCGGTCCGTTCTTTTAATTTTAACTTGTCCCTAAGGAGGTCATTTGCTTGCAACTCAATGACCTCCAGGTGCAGTTCATCTCGGCGACTGGCCACATCTGCTTCAAATAGGTTTTGAAAAAGTTTCACTTCTTCTGCCTTGAATCAAAGTCAGAAAACCACTGCTTACACTGCAGCTGGCGATCTTTGATGATATCGCATACAAATGACGTGGGGAACTCCGCTGTTGCTTCAGCCATTAAGACCGTCCCCTATTGAAAGTGTGTCAAGTTTTTGGCCTGTACTTGTTCCAAAAAACAAGACGAAATTGGATCTGAAGGCCTTTAGGTGGGTGTATAGATCAGAAACTAGATTTTCCTCTCCTTGTAGTTTTAGGTTCAGAAAATTTAAATGACTAGTTATGTCTGCAGCAAAGACCGATTTCCATAACCACTCTTCATCAGACACTAATGGCTTACTTAAAGTCTCTGCTCAGAACTTTCTCACGACTTAGCCATCTTACTACTGTGTAATATGGTATATCTTGCGATTCTGTGTCTGTATCTTTTAACATGTCTCTGAAGTGTCTATGGTTGAGCCCATGTGACCTTATTAAATTAACCCTCGTCAGCACAGGATTCAGTAAGCTGCTAATGTCCACATATTTTGCACACAAAGCTTTCTGCTGATTAATACAGTGCAGGAACATTGGTTGCAGGAATGGTTTTCTCTTTACACATCTGCTTCACTTGTCAAAACAAGCCTCTCTTTATGCCACTCATGTTCTTTCCTCCATCAACAGTCAGGCAACTGAGGTTAGTCCGGTCCAAGTTATGATCAGCAAATGTTTTTTTCAACTCATTGATATATCTTCTCCGGTAACAGTGTCGTCCATGCTATGTCGGGAAGCCAGCTCTTGTGTTAGTTTCATGTCTTCATCCACACCTCTAACGAACAAAAGCAGTTGAGCGGTGGAACAGCCGCCCAGCGATTCATCCATTGCAATTAAAAATTGGCGAAACTATCTTGCATTTTTCGCTATTCGAGTCACAATGTTTTCACCCATGTCTGCAACATGGCGGGCAAAGCTCCGCCACTATATGGCCTTTTATTGTCTCATTGACTGTGAACAGAAGTAGAAAAACTAAGCAGCGAATAAGGTTTTGCCAAGTCATGATCGGTTAGAAGACATAACGCACTACTACGCGCCTCTATTTTAATGCGGTAAAAACATAACGTCCACGTAAGCGGCATCTGATCTTCTCAGGATACATGTAAATTTCCGTAATATTTTCCGAAGACAAAAATGTCTCAGCATGAGAGGGCCTCGCGGGCCGCATGTGGCCAACGGGCCGTAGTTTGGAGACCCCTGATCTATATTATTATGCAGTATATTTTGTTAAAAAAATTATTAGTAATTTTATCATGTAATTTTACGTGCTATATCAAACATTTGTATATATTTGTGTAAATTAAATTATTGTGCATTATGTAACTCTTTTATATTTGCCTAAACATTGGTGTGCATTATTTGCTGATATTAATGTTAAAAATTTTTCCTCTGTTTCCTTTGATCTGCAACTGGAATTGCTGTATAGTCTATTTTTAATAAAAATCCAGTTTTATTTTAAAATGTTAATTGTTTACAAATATTATTAAACACTAGTAAATTAAATTATTTTCTATTATTTTTCTACAGAATGGAAATATCTGAACAGACCCGGGTAGGAGAACAAATGGATAAAAAGGTGCACAAGTTTTATGTAATTTTTTTTAAAACCAAAATAAAATTATTTAATTTTTTTTTTAAAATTAACAACCTTTGCTTTTGAATTAAAAATTGTAATTTAACAGTGTATGTTGGTTATTACAGTATTAGTGAAATTCTATGACATGTGTTCATACAGTATTAGTGAAATTCTATGACTTGTGTTCATACAGTATTACTGAAATTCTTTGTCTTATATTCATGGTGTTAGTGAAATTCTATGACTTGTATTCATCTACTACAGTTATAACCTGATGTTCTTAATCAAATTAAATTATTGCTATCCTAAAATCCAAGCTTGCTGCAATGACTGGAACACCAAGAGAAGGAAAAGACATTTTGCCTGCTGTGTCCCATATTATGGACAATATGTTATTGTTAACACCTCCTGGACTGACAACAGTGACCTGCTCCATTGCCAAGATCATCAAAACTGTTCAAGACATACCTCCCACAGTAAGTGCTTTGGTCATTTATAATTTAATAGAATTTTTCAAATAATTAGTGGCCTTTTATGAAACTTTATTTAAACTACAAATTAATGTCTTGACCCCCCCCCCCCCCCCTTTATTCTCCTACTTACATCATTTCTTGAATGAATGAAAATGTATTGGTTCTTCTCTTCCTAATTGATAAATTTGTAATCATCGATCTTATTACTGTTCATTATCCATGTGTATTATTTTATTTACCTACGTTTTTGTGGTCTTCTGGGTTTTTTTTAATAGCTAATGTTGACCTTGCTATACATATCACAGATATTTAAGCCTCTGATGCTGCAGTTTTTGTCATCGATGGATCCAATGATAATTTATTTGATGTTGCATATACAGGTAAGTAGCTTCATTTTTAAAAAGTCATGTCTTTTTTTTTTTTTTAGTGGTGGGCCAATACTAAGGATAGAGTGTGTTGTTTATAAAAAGGAATAATATATATGGCATCCTTCCGTCAACGCGAGACGATGGAGTAGCTATATAGTTCTACACTATTCATTTTTAAAAAGTTATGTTTTTTTTTTTTTTTAGTGGTGGGCTAATACTAAGGATAGAGTGTGTTGTTTATAAAAAGGAATAATATATATGGCATCCTTCCGTCAACGCGAGACGATGGAGTAGCTATATAGTTCTACACTTTGACGAGTGGCTCACTAGCCCAATCCTTGAATGGCAATCACGGCCGCATCTCTCACATGAGAATGTTGAAACCCGGTAAATTCTTGATTTTCGAATTGTTCTTTTTGATTCGAGGGCCTCGTTTCGAGTAACTTCTGCCTTTCTCACTCCTCCAAGCACTGCTGTACGCCAGTTGGAGCGATGTTCGGCAATGGTCTCCCATTCATTTATTTCAATATTGACTTCCCTCATGCTTCGTTTGCAAACGTCAATAAATCTCAGGCGCGGTCGTCCAATATGTCTTGTCCCCTCTGCCAACTCTCCATACAGCAGAATCCTTGGGATATGTCCTTCCTCCATTCTCCGTACATGACCTAACCAGCGAAGGCGTCTCTTGATAAGAAAGGAGAATATGTTAAACATGTGTGCACGTTCCAAGACCTCCACGTTAGGCACCCTGTCCTGCCGACGAATGCGCAAAATGTGACGCAGACATCTTTGATGGAAGCTGTTGAGTTTCCGCTCCTGACTGGTGTATGTGGTCCACACTTCGCTACCATATAGGAGCGTACTAAGCACGCATGCCTGATAGACACTAATTTTTGTTTTATCAGTTAGATTGAGATTATTCCACACCCGCTTATTCAGTTTAGCCATAGTTGCTGTTGCTTTTGCAATCCTGATATTGATCTCTTCATCAAAGGAGAGAGAACTAGAAATATTGGATCCCAGGTATATGAAATGATCAACAACCGAAAGATTATGACCCTCAATAGATATGGTTGGAGGTGACGGTGCTTCTTGCATCATTACCTGAGTTTTCTGTAGACTAATCGAAAGACCAAACTCCTTACAAGGATGTGATAGGCGATTAACCAGCCCCTGCAGACCTTCTTCTGTGTGAGATGTTAAGGCGGCATCGTCAGCAAACAGCAGTTCACGAATCAGCACCTTTTTTACTTTGGTCTGTGCACGAAGGCGGGCGATATTGAACAGTCTTCCATCAGATCTTGTGTGGACGTACACTCCATCTTCACAGTCACTGAAAGCTAATTGAAGGAGCATCGAAAAGAAAATTGAAAAGAGCGTTGGTGCCAGTACACAACCCTGTTTTACTCCACTGCTAACTGGAAATAACTCAGAGACAGTGCCATTGAAAGTTACTGTGCTGTGCATGTTTTTGTGAAATGACTGTATTATTGTGAGCAGTCGTGGGGGACAACCTATTCTTTGCAGGATACTGAAAAGGCCACTACGACTTACCAAGTCAAATGCCTTGGTCAGGTCTATGAAGGCAATATAAAGAGGCATATGCTGTTTGCGACATTTCTCCTGCATTTGGCGTAGCGAAAATATCATGTCTATTGTTGAGCGCCCACTCCTGAAACCACACTGGGACTCTGGGTAGATGCGGTTCGCAAGGCTCTGCAATCGCTTAAGGGCAACTCTTACGGTTCTAGCATACAATGTATGATTTTGAGGCATTTTTAAAGACAGTATGCAAAGACCTGTCACAACTACGATTTTAAGAAACTGGGCTGATTATATATACATTTTGGGGGATTTTCCAATAAAAAAAAAAATTAAACGGTACATTTTGGGTTATTAGTTTTAACCTACTTTCTACATCCAGCAGTGAATGGATCGAGAAATTGATTTGTTAGGGGCCATATATTACATTTACCCCGAGAGAGGAAGGCAGTGGTTTTGATATAGGAATTACCGTATTCGTCTTAGTGACCATTTTAGTCAATCCTTGCTTTTTTTTCTTTCCTGCTGTATGATGTAATTCTGTAATATAGTTATTTTGTTCGGTCTGTGCGTTCACTCAATATAAGGTAATATCTATAGCAAATACACGTCTGCAAAACAAAGTGACTTCAGATTGCAATATAATCGTCAGTCATCTACTTTTTGAAGTTACCTTTTTTTGACGCCAGCTTAACTCGATCCCAATAGACTCGCGATGCGAGTAGTTCTTGTATACATTATATATACTGCATGTATACTTATTTACTATTAAGATACTGCATTATATTATTTTGTATTAATAAGACACGAACAAATTGTGTCAATAGAACAATATGAGTTAGCTTTAATAATAATTGTACATTATACAGAATTAAACGTTTCGGCACATGCCTTCATCAGTACAAACAAACACAACACATTTAAATAAGTATAAATTAAATTTACATAATGTCAATATATATATCCTACCTAAAACAGAAAAAATATTTAAAAAAAATATAGGAGAGGGCGCTTAAACCTGACAAAAACAAAGTAAAGAGATGTAGAACATCTTTGGAGAGAACACTACCAAGGTCCTTTCCCAGAATACTACAGAAGATACATTGATGATTGTATAGGGATTACTAATATGGACATAACAGAACTAGAAAGTTTTATTTACTTCATTGGAAATTTTCATCCAACAATTAAATTCACTTCAATGATCCATAAAAGCACCATCAATTTTTTGGACTTACGAATTAACCTTCATGAGAACAAAATATCTACGTCCATTTTTTATAAACAAACAGACAGTCATAGCTTCTTGTTATATTCATCATCCCACCCTCAATGGTGTAAAAACTCCATCCCATTTTCTCAGTTGCTGAGACTCAGAAGACTATGTAGTAATGAAGAAGATTTTGGAGAAAGAATGTCTGAAATGTTGGATTTTTTCCGACGCAGATTATACCCCGAAGAAATTTTAAAAGCAGCTGTCACTCGAGTTAAAGGTATGACTAGACAGGCTTCTTTTAAAGCTACTCATTCTGACACTAGCGATAGGTCTAAATTTATCTTAACTTTTCATCCCCACAACCTAAAAGCTCGCTCTCTGGTTCTTAAAAACCGCTCCATTCTTATGGCGGACCCTGTCACAAATGCGATTTTTAGAAAACCTCCTCTTTTCGCTTTCCGGCGGGACAAGAGCCTTAGGGACATGCTAGTTAGAAGCCACCTCCCTGCTATTAAAGCATATAAAGGCACAAAATGTTGCAACCGTAGCCGTTGCAACTCATGTCCCTATGTGATCGAAACTGATACGATCACTTTCCCTCTGGGAGTATTCAGAATAAAAGATGGCTTTACCTGCACAAGTCGCAACGTGATTTACACCATCATTTGCAAAAAGTGCGGTAAACTATACATAGGAGAGACAGGTCGTCGCCTTGGGGACCGTTTCAGAGAGCACCTCTATAACATAAATAAACACGCTCTCTGTCCGGTCTCCAAACATTTCAATAGCCCTAACCATAATGGTATCTCAGATATTGTAGTTACTGGTATACTCTATACTAGTAACACTGCAGATAGAATCTATATGGAGAACAAATTAATAACTAGATTTGGTACGTTGTCTCCATATGGATTGAACCAAATCCATAGTTTTACTTAGCTGCCATGTCTTTTTCCTGTTTGGTTTTTCCAATTATGTTTGAATCACTTCCTTTCTACATCTCTTTACTTTGTTTTTGTCAGGTTTAAGCGCCCTCTCCTATATTTTTTTAAAATATTTTTTCTGTTTTAGGTAGGATATATATATTGACATTATGTAAATTTAATTTATACTTATTTAAATGTGTTGTGTTTGTTTGTACTGATGAAGGCATGTGCCGAAACGTTTAATTCTGTATAATGTACAATTATTATTAAAGCTAACTCATATTGTTCTATTGACACAATTTGTTCGTGTCTTATTAATATATTTTAAAGCTTTATTGCAGTCCAACACTTTTTATATTATTTTGAGATGATATTGTACAATTTTAGAAATTTAACAGGTCTGTCTTTTGCATGTTGTTTCTTTTTTATTGTAATGAACTTAGATGTTTTAATTTGATATAGAAATGCTATATAAAATATTAATCTATTATTCTGCTGTTTACAACAGAAAAAAAAGTGTTTGAAATCAGATTTTATATTTTGTATAGTATTTTTTTAATAGAAGTGTTGTTTCTCTCCCAGAAAGAATTTAGAGGCTCTATTCTCTCAACTAGTGAAGAAAGACTTGTATTAAAACGTGCCTTGGAATGTGTCAATCTTCCCACCATTGGACCATATACTCGTCTAATCATTTGCCAGCTGATTTTATCATATCTTCAGGACGTAAGAAATTTTCATACAAATTTTTCACATCTTTCTTTATTCACCAATTACAATTTTCATTTGCCCATTAAATGTGCTGTATTCAATTTATGATTCTAAATTTGATAAAATCCTTCTCATTAGCTGCCTCAAATACTTATGAAATAAGTTTGGTCACTCCTTCACAACAGGAGTGCAATTTTTTAGCTTTTTGATCACACATATTGATGTGATCAATATTCATTGAATCATTGATTGAATCATGAGTCTCATAAGGATTAGGATTTGTAGATTTTTATGTTATTTGAGTTTTAAAAAAATTAATATTATTCATACACACTGTTTGTTATATTGTATTCAGTTGTATTGTTACATTTCAGGAACAAACTAAATCTGTTGCTGATGTCATGATGAGAGACATGCTGCCTGTAGTATTTGATCCACTAGACTTACACACTTGCAAACTGGGACTCATCAGCCATTGTGTCAGTCCTGAGTATCAAGGTGGTACAAGTGACGAATTATCTAAAAATGTTTACAAACTGATGTACATTTTGAGTAAAAAATATTCAACTAAAATACAGAAACACAGAAAACTACTAATATTATTTCATTGAATAAAATATATAATAATATGACGGTAAACTGTTGATTTTAAAATTATTATTATTATCGTACATGACATTTAGCATTGGCATACAACTATTTCGACCCCCTTCGAACAATCCAAGTAAAATCTAGATATGTATGGTATAATCACTGCCTGATTAAATTAAAGGGAGGCACTTGTCTAGGCACAAAGAATCCTCATCTTTTAATTGATGTAAGAAGTCTAAATATCTATTCAAAGCAATTTGTAGAAGGGGAGAAGAAAAAGAGTAATTGAAATAAAATATGCCGCTTTTACTTTTCATGGCCATCATATATAACAAAGTTTTTATTTAAATTCAGAATACTGGTAACTGATATGCAGGGGTGTAGTAATGGGGTTGTGGAGGGGGGGGGCACCTCAGGGGGCACTTTTTTTCTTTGTTATGAGGGGCTGCATTTTCTGCCAGCTGATGAGATTTTCTCATTGATAGGTGAAAATAAAAAGCTTGATCCACATCGGGCCGCAGCAATCCTAGCATTGCTACTGCTGCTTGTACACCAAAATACAATTTTTCAAGAGGGAGGTGGCCCAAAATTTTGACTGCCAAGGGGCTCCATGTCTTAATCTGGCACTGGTTATATGCAGTGACCAGACTCAGATAATTTGATCTGCAAACTTGTTAATTGAAATATATCATAGGATACACACCTGCAAAGATTTGAGTATGGAAATGACCTTCCCATTTTAAAAAAATTATCGCCTTATCTTGATAAATCATTGATTATTCTTGTACAATTTATGCTGTAAAATAAGAAACCATATGTGCATAAGTATAAGGTAAAATAATATTTTTCTGTGCACTGACTGCTTTAACACAACCTTTCTATGGGAGTATACAGCTATCCAAAACAGGTCAATGCTAAACACCCTGGTGCCAATTAATTCAGATAAGCGATGCTCTACTTTAAATACTTTAAATATTCATATATTCTCCTGATTTTTCAAAATAGATCTCTCACGAGACTTTCACTACCTAACCCAACTGGCTGAGACAACAGGTGGTGCTCGTGTCTCAAGGGCCTTGTTTCATATTTTGTACTTGCATGTTACTGGAAGAAATTCAGAGACAGTACATAATCATATTTTGAGGTGAAAATGTTTGCCTTAGATGATAAATTTAAATTAATCATTATGCTAACTTCACCATGGCTCACTTTTGTAATTAGATAAATTTTAATCCATACAATAATTAAACAATTAATTTTCCTATTAAAATATTGATACTGTAATGGATTGCATTTTACTCTGGGTCTAACTTAGGGTACACAGTTTTCAAAGCAAATCAAAGTATGAAGTATTTAAGTATATATTTGTTTCATCAACTTATCTTCAAATTTTTTTTCTGATAGATTGTTATCCTAATAATATTTTAAAAGTACTTTTATATCCTGCTGTTATTAAATTTATGCCCTTCATCTAAAGCAATGTTTCTTAACCTGGGTTCGATCAAACCCCAAGGGTTCGGTGAGTCAGTCTCAGGGGTTCGGTGGAGGTCCAAAAAAAATCAGAAAAAAAAATCATATTTTATTGTTCCTGATAAGAAGGGTTCGATGAATGCGCATTTGAAACTGGTGGGGTTCGGGACCTCCAAAAAGGTTAAGAATCACTGATCTCATCATTAAACATGCAAAATTTAAAAAAAACTTTTTTACAACAATTTTAGAATCACAAAGAAACTTTTTCAAAACTTTCCTCATCGAATCCCTATGATTGTGGATTTCTTACGAGCGGTTAAATCACACCAACCTCATTCGTAAGTATTTATTGCTTTGCATTACATTATATTATATTTGAACTTATCAGTTCAATATAAGGACTATCTTGTCTTATATAAAAACAGTAAATGGTACAATATTTTTAATTGAGTTGAAGAGATTATGTTTAAATTATTTTAAAGGCTGGTGAATCTTCACTGATGTGTCTATGTTCCCTGTTCTGTTCTTTTTATCACACATATGAATAATATAAATGATAAGAAATTAATTTTCAGTGAGCTTCACAAGGAAATTCTGAGTCTCCTCCATGACACAGTTCTCTCCCTGCCTATCAACACACTATTAGGAAATTACCAAAGTTATCTTCAGTTGTTGGTGCTGTCAGCACAAGATAAGTCCATGATGCAACAAGTCAGTATATCTCTTTATTCAGTCTTAAATTACCATCTCTGAGGTATTTTAAAATGTTGTAAATATTCAAATAAATGTCATTTTTTCCACGAGGCGTTCACTGCCTCTCAGACACTGTTGCTTTAAAAAAATTGAATGAATTCCTAAGCACATTGCTTATATCTTATTTTTACCACAAAACACATTCCTATATTATTTCTATGAAAAGTGGTGGCTTGATTTTCACTTATGAGATGATTAATGTCCAGTTAATATTTTTGGGTATCTGGCCCGCTGGCTGTAGTTTGAGGACCTCTGATTTAGATACAGAAATACATAAACTACTTGTAAGGTTATGTAACAAACCAAATACAAATCATATTTACACTGGGGTGTAAAACGATTAATTAAACACTTTGAAAAAAACTAAGCCTTATGGTTAATATTTGTAATGTTGATGGTATTCATGTGAAAAAAAACTAAGCCTTATGGTTAATATTTGTAATGTTGATGACATTCATGTGTCACCCTCATCTCTATTATCATGGAGATGAATAATGTATATTTGCTATTATTACTTCATAAATTTCAATTGAATTATAATGAAACTTGCTTCTAATTGATTTAAAAAGAGACATAGTAAAAGAGAGAAATTTAAAAGAAATTAAAATATTTTCATATTCAGTAAACTCAAGTTAGACAAATGTCAAGAAACATAGTAAAACTAGAAAACTCCCTTAAACATTTAACTGTATAATTAATTATTGGTCTTGCTTTAATTTGTATATTTTAACAATTTTATTTTATCCACTATCTCTAAATTTCTATGTTTGGTCAAATGATAAACCTTAGTGTTCATTTGTGTACTCACAAGATAAAAATGTTTTTAAAAAAATTGTATGAAATTAAAGGTCTGCAACAAGTATTATTGTGATTCATTTATGGGCTGACAAGGAAACTATTTTAATTTCAAGAAACCATTGAGGAGATTGTTAGAGCTGGTGGAGGAGGCGAAGGTTAAGGACTTAGATGACTGGGCATTGGGCTGTCTGGTGTTGAGCATCTGTAGGACAATGATGTTACACCACCACACAGACATCTTGTATTCACGTAAGTCATCTTAATATGTTCAAATCGTCTTCTTATGTAGTTTGTAAAATCATTAGTTCCCTCACATACATATATGTGGATCAATATTTTGACTTCAATCGATTTTATTGTACTGGTCAATATATAATTTTTTTTTTATCTCCTAATTAAAATGACCCACATATTCCTTTCATCTTCCATCCTTAGTTTTGAGAGCTATAATTTTTTTCTTTCAATATATTAATCTATGAGATTTAGTCGCTAGCAACTTGTTAACAATATTTTATGTTGCATGTTTGCCTCAGCTAATGAATGTCTTATTTATTTTTGACATAATTCAGTAAAAGCTCTTGAAAATGTATTTGTTCTCACAGCAATGGGTGACCTACTTTTTGTTATGATGAACACTTTTGGTGATTCTGACATCATGGATCATGCCAGGTTTTACTATGCTTTGTTAACCTTGAATAGTGATGCCAAGGTTAGTACAAAAATACCAAAGGCAGGAGAGCCAGGGGGTTGTTTTTATGTTTGCTTTTTAAGTTTACAATTTGCTTAAAACTATTTTTGAATGTTGAATTTTAAAGATTTATGATATTTTTTTTTTTACAATTGTTAGTAAAATAATTTTTTTTTCTCATTTCTCTTTTCTAAATTTTGAACAGGCGAAAGAAACCATTGGAGCGGCTTTATTTGAGGGATTGCGTTTGGGGGAGAATATTGCTGATTTTTTCCCTGGTAAGTCTAAAGCTTTCTAGTCTAAAAATGGTTCTGTTAAATGTTTCTGTGATTATTATCCAAGTACGGGAAAATGTTGACATTGATTCCTAAATATTGCCTTTATAATAGTCAAGTCTGGTAATATTATACACCCAAAGATGTAAACAAAATTATTATTATTTCTTGATACAGGATGGCAATTTTCTTGTTATCAGTTTTAGATTTAAACTACAGCTAAATTTGAGTTCCAGTTATATAAATAATAAATGATAGCAAATTGATTAAGTAAGAATGCCTCTTAGCACATTTGATTAAGTTTGTGTTGCCTTTATTCTCTGTGTAGGATCTGTCATCCAGACTGCACCTGCTGAAATTGTTGTTTTAGATTTACCACCCATCACCTGGACCAGGTAAAATAAGGATTATAATGTGGTATTTTTATATTTTAAATAATTGTTTGTGGTGCAATAATACACCAATAGAATCATATGTTCTCAAACTATAATGGTATGACATCATTAGACTGTCTTGATGAAAGAAGAAACTCCTACTCCTATTTGGTATTTAATTTATATTAATTTTACAGAGATTCCATAGACGTTGAGTATGAATTGACTCATGACAAGATGGATTTTGATTTTCCTCTGCCTGTCACAGGTAATGTTCAGTGACTACTTCATTTTATACCACAGTCTGTCATTTAAAGAAGGATATACAGATTAAAGTGTCATTTCGGTGTTTATAGTTGAAGAGAAGTCAGCATTGGCTTAACTCTCACTTAGGAACAACATAACCATGAAAACAAGACAAGTTGAAAATGGGTTCTCTTAGAAGTAGACACAATGTTTTATTATGTGAATGGAGTTAATGTTTAATTTATGCATTATTTACATTCTTTTAATTCTCTAAAATGACTGAAAGAAGTGGGTAAAGGAATAAATCAACAAATTATGTTTATTAAGCTAAATTTTTACATGTTTATGGAAAATTTTGTATTTTTTTTCCTTCTAAATTTCTCTTCTTATTAAATGAGAAAGGAGAGAGTTCAGAGTACAATCAATAAATATTTATGTAGTATTTCTGATTTGAAATTATGTGGATAACAATTTGTATGTCCAGAAAAAAGCTTAATCAGAGACATTTTTGAACAGAGGATCTTCAAAGTTTTGTTTGGATAATGATCAGAAATACGTTGCCTTGCACACTGACCATCTTTATTATTTTAAATGCTGATTAGTTGAACAATTTAAATTATGCAATTTCTAACAGATGTTACATATTTTAATCTGCATAATGTAAATTTTTTCTTAATATCTGAAACATGCTTTCTCCTTTCAAGATGGCCTAGAGGACTATTGGGAGCAGCTCTCATATTTAAGATCAACACTAAAGTGTAACATTAAAGCAAATCTTGTAAGTTAACTCAGTATCTTATTTAAATTGATAAATTAAATTCCCATTCATTCCACGGATTACTTATTGCTGCTCAAATAGTTTATTGTTCATTATACCAAACTGAAATATTTTTTTATATGTTTCTCTATTTTGCTACTATTAAAAACTAATGCAGCTAGCAATGGTTATGTTAGCCGTATGCCAATGTTTTAACACTCATGGCTTTTACAAAATGCTGAAGAGTTTTAGGATAGGGATTTCTTAAACTAAATTAAGATGATATCTCCAGGTAAAAGAAAGTGACATGGACCATGTTGTGGCTGTCTCATTTCTTGTCAGTGATGAGAACAGTCTAAGTTTTAGCCAAGGTGAAATACATTTATTTATTATATTTATTTAATTAAATGCAAACCTCATTTATTCATTATATAAAACCAATGTCCTGAAACTTAACATTCTCATTATAAATTGATGTTTTGGCTGTAAAATTATCCTTATATGATATTCAGTAGATAAGATTAAGATTGATCAAATATTTTAAATGTTACAAAAAAAAAACCCCTATTTCAGATGTGTACCTGCCTCATATGAATAGATCAGGTAATAAGTATTTTTTTGGTAATCCCCCGTATATAAATTATGATCACTGTGAGTTTAATTAACATCAACAAGAACAAAAAGTAATTAGATTATAACTTAGGTCAGTTGTTGCAAAGCAAGATTTGATCTAATATTGAATAACAAGAATTTTCTTTTTGAAATTTTATATTATTTTTCTTATGTATTCCTGCATTTAAAGAAAATTCTAAAAGCACATTGTTAACATTAACCATTTCAATGTCATTAAACATAGTTATTTTGGAATGAAATGACTTTAGTGAGTTTAGCCACTAAAATAATATTTATTTTATAATATATATTTTGCAGTTGCTTATGCTGTTTCTTATAAGGTGATCCCTAAAGTACCTTTACCAGTTTCTGTTGGTGCCAGGTAAGTTGTACATTTGTAGGTAAAGATTATTTGGCACATAAGAAATATTAGCATTCCAATTTTTTATATTATGTATAAGGATTATGGAACATCTAACCTAAAAACACATGAGGATATATCAGCTGATAAACTAATGATAGCTTTAAAAAAATATTTAATTTATATTTTATTTTATTAGTTGAATGTTTTCAAGTACTGTAGTGACTGTAATTTTTTCAAAGTTTCCTTGTGATTTGTTTATAATTGTGTATTTACTGCATCCCAGGGCTGTATTTGGTTATGATAAAACAACTTATGAATGTGAGCTCAGCCCCATTAAATTTGACCCTGAAGACTTCCTGCTGCCATTTCCATGGCAAAAGTTCAACATTCAAGACAAGCAGATTTTTTTCAAAAAGCATTGGGAAAACTTTTCCACTAAATCCACTGATAAAAAGTAGGTGCCATTCTCTGCTTTTATAACCCAACTCACTATTTTATTTTTTAATTTATATCAACGCATGATTAATTGCCTTATTTCATTTTGCTCCTATCTTTCATGAGCATTTGCTTGTTAGAAGCTATTTCATTTAACCAGAAATAGAAATCAAAATGTTGATACAAATATTTTGAAGTTGTAGTCATGGTTTGTGTCCTTACAAATACAAAATCATGTTTCTCAATTATTGAACATATTTAATCCACTTTTTTCAGCCAGGGAGTTGAGTCGGTTAAAATCCTCAAGTGCTCTCGTCACTTTCTAATGGAGACTTGGAGAAATGCCCTGGTGTTCAGTGGTAAGTATTTATTTAATTATATGTCAATACAAGACAACATATAACTCCATTCAGGATCTTCCTTTATAATCTTTTAATTTGTGAGTGTCTTAAATCTATTTTTGTTTTCCTTCCCTTGAATTTGAATAAAGCTGCCACCCTGCACTTGAGTGGTGATGGCAACCACTGTAATACTAGAGGACTCTTTACAACGCACTTAATTCCTTCTACAAAACTAACTGAACTTTCAATATGCTAACTCTATTCTGTGCTTCTCACAGGCCCAGAGTCTGGTGGGGATGATGAATATGGCTCTGACCGCTACATTTTCTTTTTGCCACCTCGGTTTCACATTTTGTTGATGGTCAGGGACCGTACAACAGACACAGTGGTGGAGATCACATCTGATTACTGGCCTGCCCTTGGCTATTTGGATGCTTATCTAGAGAAACTAGCAAGTGCACCTTGATACAGAACTCAAAGTTATTTATTGCTTTTTTACTTCTGGAGGAATTCTGAAATATATCTTCATTATTACAAAGCATGTTATTTACCTGCACAGTCCAGTCTCAGGGAACTCTATAGACCCATTCATTGTTCAATCATTTGTGTTTCTCTCAGTTTAAAGACAGAAGATATAACAGAAAAAAAAAGCCAATGGGCTTACACCTTTATCTTGGTCAGGCTTCTTGTCAATCAAAAGTAACATTGCCAGTGAGCTACTTAAAGATAATAATGATATTTTGTCCAGTTACGTCAATCTTTGAACTCATAAATTGATGATAAATGATTGTTGATGTCCGCGTATCCAAAGCAGAGATCATGGATGTCTTTAGGTTACAATACTGAAACATCTGTTATATTAAATATATTTGTTTTATCTATCAATGGATATTTCTGCAAATCACAAGTAAGTTTAATATTTTGTATCAATGTTCTGTTTTTAATGTGGTGAATAAAAAATTTAAACTTGCTAATTTTTTTCCAGCACCAGGTCTTTCCTCTTGAATGGCGTAGTTCTTTTTATATTTCAAATTGAAATATTTTAATTATTTAAAAAGTGATTCATTGTTCACTTGCGTCCAGTTACCTCAATCTTTGAATTCATAAATTGATGATAAATGATTGTTGATGTCAGCATATCCAAAGCAGAGATCATGGATGTCTTAAGGTCACAATATTGAAACATCTGTTATATTAAATATTTTTGTTTTATCTATCAATGGATATTTCTGCAAATCACAAGTAAGTTTAATATTTTGTATCAAAGTTCTGTTTTTAATGTGGTGAATAAAAAATTTAAACTTGCTAATTTTTTTCCAGCACCAGGTCTTTCCTCTTGAATGGTGTAGTTCTTTTTATATTTCAAATTGAAATATTTTAATTATTTAAATAGTGATTCATTGTTTACTTGCAATAACTGAAATGTCTTTCAATTTGTGTAGTTTTTTAAAATCTTGATTCATGTACTAGTATTTATTGTGATCATTATGTTGTAAGTTCATGTGGTGGTTAAAATCAAACTTGCAGAATTTAAATAAAAGAATGTTAATCGTACACAATGGCTGTGTGACCAATGGTCATGATACCAGACATAGAAATGGACATTATAAATAAATACAGAAGCATAACGCTGCACAAAATCATATATTTCTTTAAAACATTCAGAAAGGTAAGATTGCTAATGTTTCGGAAATATACGATTCAAGTATCAGACATTACAGTGTTCTATGAGTTATGCCTGGAAATTTTTTTTTACACTGTCAAGAAACATTTTTATTATTCTGTAACTATAAAATGACATGGCTTTGATGCCACAGCCTCGGGAAATTTGTGACAAATATCTTACAATAAACTATTACAAATAAACATTTTGTTTTCTTGTTTTTTTAATCAGTTTAAATGATCTCTAAAATATTTTATTGTGTGTTTTTAGGTGTCTTGAAGTGTTGGGTTTGTAAAGAAATTGAGCTTCCTTAATAAATTGAATCTGTGAATGAATTTGTCTAAAACTATATGGTGTGGAGTTTATAAGGTTTATTAAAGAATGCCTGAATTGAATTGTAGTAAATTATACTCATATATAAACACTGGTCTATTCTCCTATAAACCGGGGGGAGGGGGGGGGATACCAAAGACACCAAAGACAATGTCCTTTTGGTCTCATGATTGAGATTTATCAATAGATTTATGTAGTTCTTTGAAGTGTGTGGACCTAATGCCCTCCTGACGTCCTCATACATGCCCTCTTGACGCCCCCATACATGCCCTCTTGACGCCCTCATACATGCCCTCTTGACGCCCTCATTCATGCCCTAAGCATCCCCGTTGTTAGGAGACAATTATATACAGTGACTAATCCAGCACCATGCTACCTAGGTTCATCTGTGGATTTCCCCTGCCAATAGAATGTGTAGCTGGCTTCCTTTACGGTACAACTATCCGCTAGTCGGGTCTCTTGAAGGCAGGCAATGTCAATGTTCAGTCCATCAAGTTCCCTGTCAATAACAGCAGTCTGTCTCGAGTCGTCAATCTGTTATAGGTCGGTGCCAAATCCAGGACACATGCTTCTTACAGTCCATGTTGCGAAGCAAAGTGGTCGAGTCTTCCTTCTATTTACTTTCCTTGCTCTACGGAAAAGCTCTGCTCCTCGTGAAGTGGCATCACTAGTGCAGCTGTTAGCTGGAGATTAGTTGTTTCCCAATGCAGCAGATCCCCACTCTCCACGCAGCAAGTGGATCCAAGGTAATGACAACTGTTAATGCAACTTGGCTTTAACAGCGTCACAGGAGTTACCGATATGACATTGGTATCAGCGTCAGATCAACTTCGGTACTCCCATCTCTGGATTTTACAGTTTGGGTTTACTCCCACTGACTTACCCTAGCTTCCCGCATTGAATTTATATGTTTATATCAAAATTTATTAGCAATTTCGGTACACACAAATTTGCGTGTCAGCCATCTTGTTGCTAACTTTTCAAGTTTAAGGTCAAGTTTTCATAAACCCAAACCATCAACTTCGGCGTTGGGTTGAGCATTATCTTGAACTCTACGCTACAATCAATGTTGTCATTGAGACTGCTCTGCATATTCCCGTCTCGTCAATAGTGGAAGAACTCGATGAAGATCCAACTTTGCAGGAGCTCGAAAAAGCAATGGATTATCTTTCTGATGGGAAGGCTCCAGGGATTGACGACATTCCCCCAGAAGTCCTCAAAAATGGAAAACCTGTACTACTTCAGCCCTTAAATTTAAATGAGCTCCTATATCTGTTTTTTGGAAGTAGGTCACATTCCCCAGGGCATGAGAGATGCCAACACTGTTCACACGTAAAGGTGACCGAGGTGATTGTAATAACCAGAGAGGGATTTCTGTTCTAAAGACGCTTGCCCGTGGCACCCTTAAACGATTGCAGAGTCTGGCTAACCGCATCTGCCCAGGGACCCAGTGTGGCTTCTGGAGTGGGCGTTCAACTATAGACATGATATTCTCGTTACGCCGTTTGCAGGAGAAGTGTCGTGAATAACTTACGCCTCTTTATATTACATTGCTTTCATCGATCTGACCAAAGCATTTGACTTGGTAAGTCGGAGTGGATTGTTCCGTATCTTGCATAGAATAGGTTGTCCCCCACGACTGCTCACAATCATACATGCATTTCACTAAAACACATGCACAGCACAGTAATCTTCAATAGCATGGCCTCCGAGGCATTCCCAGTCAGCAGCGGAGTAAAACAGGGTTGTGTACTTGCACGAACGCTTTTCTCCATTTTCTTCTCGATGCTCCTTCAATTTGCCTTCAGGGACTGTGAAGACGGAGTGTACATCCGTACCAGATCTGATGGTAGGCTGTTCAATATCGCCCACCTGCGTGGAAAGACCCAAGATATAAAAAAGGTAATAATGTGTGAACTGCCTTTTTCTGACGATGCCGCCTTAACATCGCACACAGAAAAAGGTCTTCAGCGGCTAGTTAATCGTCTATCACACGCTTTTAATAAAGAGTTTGATCTGTCAATTAGACTACAGAAAATGTAATGATGCAAGAAGCACCGCCCCCTCCAAAAATATCTATTGAGGGCCATAATTTGTCGGTGGTTCAGCATTTCACATACCTTGGATCCAATATTACTAGTGCACTCTCCTTTGACTAATACTTGAACATCAGGATCGCAAAAGCAGCAGCAACTATGGCCACATTAAATAAGCGGGTGTGGAATAATCTCAATCTAACTGATATTACAAAACTAAGAATCTATCAGGCAAGTGTGCATAGTACGCTCCTACATGGCAGTGAAGTGTAATATGCCAGACATGAGCAGAAACTCGACAGCTTCCAGCTTTTACGCATTCGATGGCAGGACAAGGTGCTTAACACAGAGGTCTCGGAACGTGCAAGAATGTGTAGCATATTCTCTGCTTTAAGCAAGAGGCGCCTTCGCTGTTAAGGCCATGTAAGGAGAATGAGGAAGGCCGTGTTGCAAAGGATCTTCGGTACGGAGAGTTGACAGAAGGGACAAGACTTGGAACACCGTGGCTGCGATTGAATGACTTTTGCAAAAAGGAACTCAAGTGAAGCCAACATAGCAATCAAAGAATGGGAGATCATCGCTGAAGACCGTTCCAGCTGGCGAACAGCAGTGTATGAAAGGAGTCAAAAATGTAGAAGAAGCGTAAAACGAAGCCCTTGCGACAATAAGAGCAACACGGAAAGCCAAATCTAACCGGGAGTCAAGGTTGCCGAGGCTGCCATTACAGGATCGGCCTATAAGACATTTAATGAAGAATAAATAGCTACTCCGTCGTCTCGTGAATGCTGAAGGATGTAGTTTTTGCACATATAACTTTCTGAGCTGACCCTTATCCATGGATTTGTTTCAGATGGGTTCATTTGATTTCATACTGATTAGATAGGTTGTGGTAAGGTAACAATTTATATACATGTTTTTATGACATCATAATCTGTTGCAAGAATAGAGAATAATAGAAAAAATATAATAAATTAACTAAACCGCTTACATTGTTTTTGCTCTTGTATGTAAGTGTAAGCATAACGTTAGCGTGAATTTTTTTTTTTTAAAATCCGTTATATTCACCCCTTCGACAACTTCGCTCCTCCGCAGACTCGCGTATTCTGTCCGTTCCCAAGACACGCACTAAATTATATGGTGAACGATCTTCCTCTTTCTGCGCCCCCAAACAATGGAATTCTTTGCCACTACACATCCGCAATATAACAACCACACAGGCCTTTAAAACTGCACTCAAAACACATCTATTTAAACTATACTACCCTGACTGATTCTCCTCCTATAAACCGATAAACGTACATGGGTTTCCTTGTAAAAATGTCTGGTGTGGGTGGATGAATAGACCTATGGTGTTGTTTTGCTTATATGTTGTTTTTATTTCATTTATGTATTTTATTTTAATATTATGATTATGCCTCTTTGCTATATATGTACAGCGCGGTGAGCCCAGCCCTAGGCCGGGGTACCGCGCTATATAAGACCACTTATTATTATTATTAACGCGTATTCTGTCCGTTCCCAAGACACGCACTAAATTATATGGTGAACGATCTTCCTCTTTCTGCGCCCCCAAACAATGGAATTCTTTGCCACTACACATCCGCAATATAACAACCACACAGGCCTTTAAAACTGCACTCAAAACACATCTATTTAAACTATACTACCCTGACTGATTCTCCTCCTATAAACCGATAAACGTACATGGGTTTCCTTGTAAAAATGTCTGGTGTGGGTGGATGAATAGACCTATGGTGTTGTTTTGCTTATATGTTGTTTTTATTTCATTTATGTATTTTATTTTAATATTATGATTATGCCTCTTTGCTATATATGTACAGCGCGGTGAGCCCAGCCCTAGGCCGGGGTACCGCGCTATATAAGACCACTTATTATTATTATTATTATTATTAACTTCGCTTTTGTTTGTGATTGGATGGCAAAATAGTCGGACGGCTAATAAACCCACTTCCCGTCAACCTATCAAGCTGAAAATGGCACTTTGACTTGTTGCCGATGACAAACCAGCTATTAAACATTCTATCAAATTTTCAGTCTCAACCCCCAAAAAACTGTACAATCTCTGCGTAAACAAACAAGTCGCTAACTTATTCTACAGTGCAACAATTGGAAGCCTGCTTAATTTCAATATTACCTGCTGGTGTGGGAATTCAACGTCTGATATTAAACACCGCATAAACCGACTAATCAAGAAAGCTAGGGACATAACACAAACTAAACATCCTTCCCTTGAAGAACTATTTGAAGAAAGATGTTTTTGTAAAACTAAACACATTTTGAATGATACATCCCACCCTCTTCATCACAGACACTTAGGATCGGGCCGTTCGGGACGAATTCTTTCCGCCAGGGCGAGGACTGACAGATATACAAATTCTTTTGTTCCTCAATCTGTACGAATTAACAGCGTGCTCCCTCTGAAGTCACAAATCTTAATGAGTACTAAGAAGTCCCTGATATGGCTAAGAGTCTAAGAGAATTCACTGAATGGCTGTTTTTGTGTGTGTGTGTTGTTTTTTTCTTTCTGGTTCTGGCTCTGGTAATGTTTCGTTGCTGCATCCATGTACTGGCATTTTGGCAATGGTTGGGGGTATGATGTTGCTATTCTATCAGCTCCTAGCTGATGCCAGGGCAGCCTTGAAGCTTTCGACTGATGTCGAGTTCACAGTAGCATCGTTCAGGTTGTTCCATGCTATTATTGTGCGTGGGAAGAAAGATTGTTGATACTGCACTGTGTTGCACTGAGGCACTTTGAAGCATTTGCTATTGTTTCGGGTGTAATTGTT